TTAAAAATTGTTTCGTAAAATTGTTTATATACATTTCTCACCCAAGAATAAGAAATATTTTCCTAATTAACAATTGAATTCTGACGAAAACTTTTATTTTAATGTATACGACTTACTTTTTTACTGATTAAAAATGTATTATTTAATGATTTATTTATTAATAAATTATTATCTATAACTGGAATAGGTAATTTAATTTTTAATTAAAGATTATTAAATTAGGATTAAAGATAATAACAATCAAAAACTGTAATGCATGTAGATAAATAGCAATAATTAATTATAAGTAATAAATTTCGTATGATATTCTTTCTTATATTCTTATCGATTTATAATAAAAACTTTACCATTGATTAAGCCCATTTCAAAATAAAATAAAAAATTAGTGTCTTAAAAATATTATAGTATCACTCCAATTTGAATATTTAAATTAACAGTACATTATCAACTACAGTTTTGTTTAAACTTTATATATTATATATATAAACTTACAAAAATAAATAATCAGTATTATCTTTAGAGTTTGATAAATTTTATAGTTTATTTCTCGTGGTGCATAATCATATTAAAAATAAAATATTTTGTGTTTTCGAATCAATAATCAGAAATAGGATAGAAATATTGGGTGCGATAGAAATAAAAAACTTTGAAAGTGAATATAATTGTAATTTTTTTTTATATAAATTAAGTTTTATAAGTACCTACTTAATATTATTCTATGGTAGTATGGGTATACACTAAAAATAATTAAAAAACAGAGATATTAAAAGAAAAAATATGTATTGCGTATTAAAAAAAAATCAACCAGCATTTTTTGGATATTTGCAACCGTTTCGGATATAATCAATTATTTGCATGATTATTCTTTTAATAAAAATCGAATTCCGAATGTAAAAAATTAAAACGAATATTACATAACATCACAGTAAAAAACAAATTAATCCGGTAGAGTTAAGAAAATCACTAGGTTTAGTTATGCACGTATAACTATAATGCGTATGGTAGATAAACGCTTAATTTATTTATATACGTTATAATAATATATTTCTTGGAATCATAATGGAAGTATATTTATATATAATACATAAGAATTTTTTAAGTTTACAGTAGGGCTTAAAAAATAATCCCCTCCATTTCAAATATCAATATTTTTATGATATATGATCATATTTACGAGAGATATTACTGTGACGATCAAGAGTGTATATATACTTTATCAATGCGTCGCAGATAATACATAAATCGATACGGATAAACGCTGCGCGGAGAAGGAAAGCAATTTTTTAAATTTAATTTTTTTTTGTACATAATTATTTTCCGATATCCTTCGCTTGCAACCGAACCACGTTGATGAGAAAAAATAATTAACTTAAGTGTTCCGAACGGAAAAGTGTATCGGTATGACACTTACGCGGGTCTACTGTAAGATAATTATGTTGCATGAAACGATAATTGTGCAATTACTTTTGTGTAGGAGAGACGTTCGGTTCTTATTTTTTTATTTTCTTATGTATGAGGCAGGGAGTATACCACGGCTTTAAATAACATTATAATAATTTATCAGAGACAGTGAATTAATGGTATTCTAAAAATGTGATATTTAATATCGGAAAGAAAACGACTGTTAAATAATGACAAACAAAACCGATAGTTTTTTTTTTTTCAAATGTTATGCACTACGGTACACCTATTTATTAAACTGTACGGTCAAATATAATATTCACAATAACCCACATTAGTTTAATGTTGCACGAAAACTCAATGCCTGGGGTGAACGATGCGAATAAAAATAATAATAATGAAATCGACATCATAACATATAATCTAGAAGCGCGAGAGTGGTGTTATGAAAAAAAATAAATAAAAAAAATATGTAGGTAACTGTGAACAGTTTTTGTAACAGTTTTTAAAAAGAAACAGTGAACCACAATGGCTTCGTACGTCCGCGCATTGATCGATGCGTAATTTTATTTGCATCGTTTCTGTTGAGGTCCTAAACTTAAGGGACCTACCCCGAAGCGGGTTAGTCTACACACTCAGGAATGATTATCTCCTGCGTGTACAAATAATTTCAACGGACGTATATACTGTAATTACAAGGACCACTTTTAGCGAAAATTTAAAATCACCGCTGCATGGGCCATGGGTTTTCTGATCGTATGTGAAAATCGTCCGATGTATACTTAATAACAATAATTATATCGTTGTAAACAATGCACGCGCCGCGACACCGTTACGGTGAGATTCGTATATTTTTTTTCTTTCTTCTTGTATTTCGCTAAGTATTATATTATTATCGGTTTTTTCACCTATAGTTTTTCTATTTTTTTTTTTTTTTTTACTCTTTTTCTAGCACGTTCTTATAGCCGATACCTGTTGCCATCTGAACAGGTTCTCGCCCCGCGTCTGTTCGAACATAATACACTATTGAACTGGAGTGTATTCGATTTTGTTCCGGTCATGTGCACCGACGACGACGATGTATTTTAAGTACTCCGTTCAGCACAATCGTGGCCGATCCGCGTTCATGCATTGACACTTGGCGAACTTGTTATGGTATTTTTTTTTTTTCATCATCATACAATCGGGACGGATTCGATGACAATTATATATACACGCGTCGCGATGGCTTTCTAATTCGTGCAATAATAAAACGAACGCACTGTCGGAACCAATAGGTTTTCATTTTTACTTAGAAGTACCAGAAAGTACCGCATATACATACAAATATATATATATATATAAGTATAGGTGGCGGGTATGGGGCGAAAAATTCGCAAATACCTATACAGACGGTGGATGACATTGGTATCTCGGTAGGCAGACGTCTGAAGAGATGAAAAATAATAATAGCAACTGTCAAAAATGTTGAGTCAAGTTATTAATTGTCCAATTATTAAGATGGTTTTATTAAGATCGCCTAATCGTACACATATTAGCTTGTAATTCATACATATTTTATAGGAAATTTTTGCACCCAACGTGTAAGGGGAATTTCAACGGTATTAGTTTTTCTTTGAGTTATCTACGTCAGGATTTCTCACCGATATCCCGCAACTATATTATTATTTAGTAACAATATTATGTATTACAGGTTTCGAGAAACAAAAAAATATAATGTATATTTGTATTCTCATCGGGTACACTTATGTGTGAATTAAACGTAAAATACGTATTAAGAAACGTTCTACGGTAGGTAAAAAAAAAATGTGAATCCAGAGGTACCTATGCATGTTCTGCTGTCGAGTGCAATACGTGATGGCGTGACAGTCGATAAGTGATGACCGTCATCCTCGCAACGACGACAACCGGACAACGTGATATTATTATTAACCGCATATTATTGTAGTGAATGACATGCGTTTCTCGAATGTCTGCTACTGGACCGCGACAATGAAAATAATGCGAAAAATTATCACGAAATAGAAATCGTATATATATGTTTCCGCGATGGATTCGCGAAGAAATCTGTCGGATTAAAAAAAAAAAACGAAAGAAAAAAAGTAAAAACGAAAATTAAACGATATACACGCGTCGCGGGACACCACAGCTATTACATTTATGTGTGTGATATGTTGCACGATACTGTACTATACTATATTAGTATAATAGATAATTTTAAATGGTTTTATTATATTATTGTTATTTTATTATAACGCTTTGAAAGTCCTGAATTTCTTTTCCTTCACTCCGGGGTCTCGCGATCATCCAAAATATATATATCTGAGTACATAAATATATGAGATTACAGTATAATATAGGATGGTTTTTTTTTAAATTCTGGAGCAGGTGCTAAATTATAAGTTTTAATGGGATGCGTTCAAATGTCAAAATAATTTATTGGTCAAATTGACAATATTATAAAAAAGAAAATTAAAAAATTGATGAGTCGCAGTTGATTGGATAATGAAAACGACGATTTTAACTATATTAATATTTCAGCGCCCTACTACTTTACGTTTTTATTTCAATAACACTAATTAGGTATACATTTATTTCAAGTTATATGATAATTGTGCCTTCAAACATTTTATATAAGAACCAACAAAGTTTACTGTTTAAAATTAATCCTGTCCTGGTATAATATTTTAAAATTTATCGGCCGTTTGTAGATCCTAATTGCACGATACGCCTTTTAAACAAATATATTTTTTACACAATATATAAAACCCATTTTTGTTAAAATTTATTGGTAAAATAAGCGTATTTTAGTCATTGAAAAATAATAAGTTTTTTTTTTAATTTGCCTTTGTTCGCACATTACAGCAAAAAAATAATAAGTTATTTAATAGGATTTATATTTTGTATTGATAAAAACAGGAAAATAAGTCCTCCGCGCTTCTCAATATTTTTCTTGTTGTAAGATTAGAAAGTTAATACGAGTATAATAATTGTATACTTTCCTACAACGACCAAAGAATCAGACATCAATATTAATTGTACATAAGTAGACATATTTTATATATTATTTTTTTTGGGGGAGAGGGGGAAATAATAATGAAATATCGATTATTTAGCAGTGAAATTTAACAGTGTAAACAACAAGAAGGGTACTAGGGCATGAGATATTTAGTAGTTGGCTGTCTATACAGATTAAATGCTTTCCTTAATTTCAAATTCATATATATATATATATACCCCTTGACGTGTAATATTAAGTTTTTAATTTTTAACTTTTAGAATTTTCAGTAAAAACTATTTAAGTTTTAATATTAAGTTATTTTAGCTTACATTACATAACTAAGAACTCACGAATAAAAACGCAACGAATTTAACCTATTGTAATAATTCGGCATATTGTGTTCGAAGGGGTTTCTTGTACAGAGAATGACAATGTATTTCCAAGAAATTATGAAATATTTTCAAGTATATTCTATGTTATATATTATTTTTAGACGTAATAATTTTTATTTAGTTTCGCTTTTTTGTCTATTTATTTATTTATTTTTTTTTTATCGGTTAAATATTTATACAGCATTTAGTATGTCAATACAAAACGTACAGGTTACGGTGAATGCTGGACGTGAACGCATACATATATTATCACGACGTTACCGAGGCTGTGTTAGGTAATTCGAACTCTTCGATTATTTTTGTTCAACGTGCACGGAATTTTTTTCGCCTCCGAACGAACCGTGCGATGTGCGCGCGTAAAGAATGCGGCGCAGACAAGAAAGGAAAAAGACAACGGTTAACGACCATGGTTGATAGGTGATTAGCGAGGAAATCGTTGTAAAACGCAATATAGAAAACCCGTCCGGAGATTAAGACGTGGAGCGTTTAACAGCGGCGTAAAGGGCCGAAACACAATAGGTTGGACGCGGTGTACGGGGCCGGCGGGTGCGGTGCGCAGTAGTGTTTCGGAAGGCTTCAACATCATCGAACACATATCGGTTCCGTCACGACGGAAGTAATTATACGGCACGCACGCAGGATCTCCGCGTCTTTCTCATTACTCGTTCGTCGCAGGAATAGAAAATGTACGTACGCGCATGTGTTTACTTTTTTTTTTTTTAATTCATACGTTTATTCCACCTTCCGCATTCAATATTATAATAACAGCAGCAACAACAACAACAACAACAATAACGAAGTATGAACGTACGGACGGTTTTCGTAAACACAATATTATGTTTACGTCGCGCGTAGATTTTCACTCGCCAGAACCGGTATCCCTACCCCCGCGTGCACATCGGGAAAATCTTCGAAACGGCGCGCGGCGTGTCCTTCGTGTCCGGTCCGTGTGCCGCAGTCGCGCCGTCGACATGCAGTCCTGCAGTGCCGTCCGCCGACAGTAAAACGACACCGAAACAGTTCCTCGTCCAGCGAACGCCGCCGCGTACAAACATCGTTCTTGCGACCGTCGCATTTCCCGCCCGTACGGTTTCCGCGTGCGCGCGCCCGCGCATATTACGTACGTGTACTTGCGACGCGGATCGAGAAAAGCGTTGACAGTCGAATAGAGCGGATCGGGGTTTCCACGTTTTACGTTTATATTTGTTCATCTTCCGTTTCTCGTTGTTTTCCCACGTCGAAACTCTCGTCCCGTCCAAATGAATAATGGCCAACACCGCGTCGTCGGCCATGTGTAATCGCGGGCCCGTGTCGCTGTTACCGTTGCTCGCGCTGCTCACCGTTTCCGCGCTGCTGTCGGCTCTCCTCTGTCCGACGCCCGTTGCCGCCGTCCCGGAATCCCGCCATGTCCGGCACAAGAGGACGGTGTCCGAGCTCGTCGAAGGCCTCATGAACGCCATGTACTTCCACGTGGATCCGTTGCCTTTGCCGTCCACTGTTATAACTCGGATCACTCACGTTCCAGCCGCCAAGGTTTACAAGTGAGCAAAACACATCAGCGATTTATTCGACACTCCAATTATACATTACACGCGCACGCACACGATATCCTACGTGCAGAGTGTAGGCACTTATCCGGATAAGTTGTTTGGCTCCGGTTTCACATGGTTACACACAACCGGCTAAATATCAGAACCTCGTACGCTGTTCCGTTTGTTCTACACATTTACACGTCTATACGGTTTCAAAGAGATGAGTTAATTTTCGACTTTGACGATGAACTCGTACAATGCGAATTAGTAATGAATTATTTCTAATGTAACTTCACTAACTGTATCACTAGTCGTCGACGTTTTCCGATAGAATCGATCTGTATTTAAAGATTTTCGTCCAAATCAAATGTATGTATGATATCGGATATTCAACACAATATTAAATTCCTGTGGATCAGTTTTTATATTGATTATTTATTTTGGGGCTTATTGGGCTTTTAAGACCATCCCGTCTCACAACTGACCTTCCATCCTTCTCTATCAGTTTTAAATCAAACTTTGAATCAAATTTCTTTTTTTTTTAATCAGTTTTTATACAGTTTCGAAATTTCGAACAGAGTTAAAAAAAATAATATGATACATACTCGGTTATATGTATCTTAGATTTAAAGTGAAACCCAAGGTTTTCACAAGATAACAATTTTGCTCTATATTTGAAACTTAATTCCTTAGTAAAATGATTACTCCTGACCTTCCACGAATATTCGATTAAAATAAGAAATTTCTAGTCAAACGTTAATTACATATTTTATATGATGAATAAATTTGATTTTTAACTGTCTTATACTCAATAATAAACTCCGAGATCATAAATCCATAACTAAATCGAAATCGATTTTTAATATTTTATTCAAAACATTTAAATCCAAGAAGGTTGAAAATTTTAATAAAAAATGATTTAAATATAAAATAAATGAATATAAAACCATTAGACTAAATTAATTTTACTTCATTTCATTTCCACAAGTAATACCCTATTGAAAGACTGAAAGAGCAAATATTATATATGTTACCGGCAATATAGATAATTCAGTAGCTTGCAAAATGTTTAGGCATTATATAAAATGCCAAAAATCACTGGGCAATATACATAATACGAGTATTGCCTAAGTATTAAGTATAATGTCAAACGTGGAGTAAGCAATATGATGAAAAAAAACAAAATTGGGCATCGCCTATTACCAACGACTATACTTATCGTTTATCATAAAGTGTGTGCACGATTTAACACAATAGATATTAATATTCTTTTACTACTTTAATAATAATTCTGAGGTACAATATTGAACGTACTAATAATTTTAATACAATATCGTCATTTTTCTCGTATTTTCGTGTCTCAATATGGTATTGCAACTATGCATACGATTTATATGAAGTCAAATTTTTATAACAAACTACAACATTTTTTTAAAAATTTGATCACTAATTCTAGTTTTTTATCTGATGAACAGTATAACAGTATAACAGTTGATAAAAATTCTATCCACAAGAATTGGCCAAGGACTTTTAAAATGTGTTTATAAGTCCAAGTGTCAAAATAAATATTGTATTCGCCTTAAAAATAACATTTTGTGCACTTCAAAATGTTACTTTTCTACATGTTACAATAAGTAAATAGTAGTTTAAGTAAAATATTAATATAATAATAGATGAAAATTAAATTTTGTCTGTAATATGTGTAATGATGTCGGTATAATAATTATAAGAATCTTAATGTTAATGTAATATAACATATTCATATAATAAAATGTTTTGTACTTTGCTTAAAAAAAAAAAAAATTGGCATTTTGCATAATGCCTAGGTATTTTATAGAATGCCTAGGTTATATGTAAAATAATATTGAAAATCATATGTTTTATTTACATCGCCTAAAATGGGACGGCAATTTGTATAATGCCTAGGCATTTTGCAAAATACCTGAATTATCCATATTACCGATAATATGCATATATATATATATATAGGTATGTATATATATATATATAGAGAGAGAAAAATATTCAAACTCTAATTTTCACCTTTATGTACATATTATTTTCTATAACTCCATTACTGTACACTATTATAATAATTTAGAAGAAAAAAATGGTTTTAAAATCGGAAATTAATATTTTAATAATTAACACGTTTGATCCGTGTGTACCTGAATTTGTCATCGTAATATATTAATACCTGTACTAAAGATACGACTACAGACTTTGATTTTATTACTTAATCAAATATCTTAGATACAGTGCCTAATGATTTTTAATATTCTTGTAATTTAGAAAAAATTGACAAATCCTTATCACAATTGAATTTACTTCACACCACAAATACTTATTTCAATAACTATAATACATATTTTTCAACGATAACCATCAGGTAATAATCATCCATATTAATCCGATAATAATAATCTCATGATACGTCATACAATTCATAACTTTGTAGAGTCGAAAAATAACAATAGATTTAACATATAATACACGTGTATTAAATAAATGGGCTTTAATATATTTTTGCCCGTGTGCCTCCACTCCGTGTACCCGTATATTCTTATACTCGTTCACAAACACGACCTTTACTTGATATGGTAAAAAAATAGTATGTGAAAGTATTTAATAATTTAAGTCATATATATTACGCGATTATGAATGCATAGTACTTAAAGCCTTATTATGACAAAAAGGTTACTTTTACCCAGTGATGCAGTCAGAAAAATATTTCGGGGAGGTTTAAATTTTCAATTATCTTCTACATTAACACTCAGGGGCGGATCTAGTGGGGGTTCAGAGGGTCAGCTGACCCACAGTTAATATTTGTTGACAAAATTGGCCTCTTGGAAATTTTTATCTCTTTTTCGACCTTGATTTGGACCCTTGGACAGTTGGCCCATCGGATTTACTTAAAAAATGAATGTCATGTATATTCAAAATTTAAAATTTTTCAATTCATAATTTATATTTTAAATTATATTGTTTTAGTAGGAAGTTAAGTAAATCATATTTTATTCCGTACGTTTGTTGCGCTGATAAAATTAGATTATGTTTATTATTCATAAATAAGTCATTATCGGTGGTATCGCTAATTCTAAAATGTAATATAAATATACTTATACACTTTTATGAGCATATTGAGTTTTTTTTTTTTTACAAAGTATTCATTTCTAATTCAGTTTCATCCCTAATAAATGGCCTCTTGAAATGACTTAACCCACAGTTCCCCGAATCTGGATCCGCCCCTGTAAACATTAACTATTTAATTTTAATAAGTTAACTAAACATAAAATAAAATATAAAATGTATTGTTATTTAGTTTACTGAAACTGAATAAATAAAGCCTTTAAAAATATATATTTGTCTACGTACATATTCATAAATCTAACTTATATTTTAAAATTAATATTTAATCTTCTTGAATGCTTAACAAGTTCTTTTAACATATCATTAGTCTTGATAATGTCATGATAGATGTATAATAATGCCAAATTATTACTATGTCATAAAATGATTGTATATTTCAAAATAAAAGAAACGTTTGAGGGGTTATAATCCGTTAATCCCTCTCTTGACTGCACCACTACTTTTACCTAATTATTATATTTAAGAATATAATAAAATATGAATGTATTTTATATCATTGAATACAAAACGAAGTAAAAATTATAAATTTTATTTAAAGTTATAAAAATTAAATTAAATTACTACTTCTGCAGCAATTCCGTAATAAATATTATATAAAATAACCAACTTTGATTTTATAAATCAATATTTTTAATAATTAATAACAAATAACTATAATTTTTCATAAAAAAAAAACATAAGAACATTTGGTTTTTGTTTGATATAATATACCTTCACCAATTGGGTTTGTAAAAAATATCGAATAAACAGCAAGATTTACGGAATGATGCAAAAAAGTTAAACCTATCGAATTGAAAATTAGACACGTAATACTATATTATACAATAATTTCAAATTTCAATAGTCACTAAATGAAGATTATTATTGATGTGTACATGCTTTTTTTAAAAATCAATATTTATTATTATTTAATACCAATAATATCTTTTAAGTTTTAAAATTACCATTGACCTTGTTATAATATTTATAACTTACTGATACTGTATTATATTCTATATGTAAAAATATGCGGATATTGTATAATTCAATATTTTATGAAATTTATACATTGAAAATAATTTATTAATAATCGATAATACCATTTATTTTTTTACAAAAAAATGTACTGCAATTAAATTATGAATAAAATTGTTTAACTTTAACCTAACAATTATTGAATTAATAAATCTAAAAAAATTACAGAACGTAATGTTTATTAATTAAATTATAACTTTTGATTATATGAAATACTGTTTTTTTAAAATGTTGGTAGGTATTTATTATTTCATAATTTATATCAGTGAAACTATAAACTGAATAAATCTACTTTACAATATTCAAATTTAATAATAAAAATGTATGCGTCGTAGAATGAATTTTTCACTAAATAAAAAAAACCATAAAAATAGTTTTCATGTAAATAACATTTTAAATAGTTATATGCAATAAATATAAAACAATATTAATGATATTAAAATATAAAAATAATATAATTTCATAGAAGAGAAGACGGTCAATGAACGCATATATTGAATATTTTTTATTTTTCATTCGTCATAGTTAATTTCTTATACCATATTTATTATATATTACAACAGAAAGTATAGTCAGTCACTTTTATTGACTACCAGAAATCTATTGGTTAAAATATTAGCTTAGTTTTAGTATATAGTCAACGTCTACATGGACTACACATTTATAAATATTGAGATTATTTTTTATTTTTACTTGAAATAATTCATTTATATTTAATTAACAATAATGCATTATTTATTTGCTTAATATATTGCAAAATTGATGATTGACAATGATTAAATATTTTATTTTTCAAGACAAATAATTTATTTTTGAAATAGTTAATTTTAGCTGATTATAAATTTGTGTTTATAATAGGTTATACCTGTGTAGAATACATAGAATATATAGAATACATATTATGATGACGTGCAAATTAATTGTTTGAACTAAATAATTATTAATAAATATGGAGGATAATTTTTTTCAAAAAATTTTGATTTATTTAACTATATGTTTAAATCAGTATCGAAAATCTATGCAGTCATTTTAAATGATTTATATGAATTTCTATTTAAAATATATGTAACTTAATGTCACGTACAAAACTATTGTTTTTAATCATAATTAAAAATCACCCAAGAGAAAACACTTTTATCCGTTTTAAATTGGAGAACAATCGTTTGAAACTATAAGTTTTTTTATGCAACCAAAAGTTTAGCATTCTTTTTTTTTACACACATTTTTGTTCAGAGGATGCATATTTAGACATGGTGGATTGACACGTTTAATTTTTTTTCAACAGGTATGTTCCGGTACAAAAGTTAAAGTTTTCAAAATTACGTGCACGTCAAATAGCTGAACCAAAATTAAAACTAAAATATCCTAAAAAAATCTCAATTAAAACCGAAGACTCATCATTGACTGTAGTGAAAAATGATCTTCCATGGACGTTACATCCATTGCCACCACCCTTGCCAACAGCGAAAACGATTAGGCTTGAGGTGGACAAATCAATGCCATGGGCTTTACACCCACTTCCTCCACCCGTGAAAACGAAAAATTATTCTGACTACTATTGGCCCGACTCGAAGACACGACCGAAGTACTATCACAGATTTAAACCACCAAAAACTCGTCAAAATAATTTTATCAAGAATAATAATAACTATAAAGTCGTATATTCCAAACCCGCTACCAATTTTAAACCGTCCGATCACAAGCCTACTGAATACAATGCCGTTGATCATCAACCCGACGACCACAATGATGTTGAGTACAAACCTGCCGATTACAAACCTGATAACTATAAGGATGATGAGTTCAACCCGGTTGATTACAAGCACGTCGAGTACACGCCTGTTGACTTCAAGCAAATTGAGTATAAACACGTTGATTACAAACATGTTGATTACAAGTCTCCGGATTACAAGACTGATTATCCGAAGAACAACGACGAAGAACACGGGGGTGACGACCCTCAAAATGTATATCATCATTCTTATACCCAGGATGAACATTCGTCTCAAATAAACAATTTTCCATCGCCGTCGTCGCATTCGCCTCCCACTGAATATGTGTCACACATAACGATCGAGCCTTCCATTCAAATTGCATCGTTTTCAGAGACGGAAATGCAAGGTGATGGTTCTAACAGGGAAACCATATCCCAAGGCGATACAAAACAAAAGTGCCAGTGCACAATAAACGGACATCGACATAAACGAAACGTGAACAAGATAAACGACACTACTGCAACCGCTAATACTACATCCATGGTGCAAATAAAAGATTTGGACGTGGGACGATCTTCGTGGAATTCATACGTCACTCCCAGATCTGGACACGCTTCCGAAGTACAAATATTAAAGTCTCATGATATCACCGACCAGTCGATGATCAATAATCCGATCGGATACGTACAGCAAGTGCGCGCCATAAACGTTGCAGATGCTCAGCATTTACCTGAAACGCATAACGGAGATGAGAAAAAACTCGACTCAAATTTTAGAGACGAAAGTGATAAATTCAAAGTGGATTTTGGTCGCGAAGTCAAAGCTCGAGACGAATTAAAGTCGGCAGACAGTACAGGCCGATTTTTACAATCAAATCCTAACGACTATAGAGATAGTAGAAGTAGTCTTGTTGGCAATGTTGGCGGAGAAGGCAGATATAGTGGATTTAATATCGACGACTACAAAAGTCGATTGACTAGAAAACCAAATCAGGAGAAAAGTATTCATATTACTAAAAGTAAAGTGGAGAATACAGACCGAGGTGTGTCGTTCAGCGTGCAAACTCCTTTCTCTGTTTCTAGTTTTTCGTCAAAAATCCGGCATCCGATGACGGATGAACGGCCGTCTCAGTTCCGATTCACTGAGCTAAAAACAACATCGTCACCGTTATTCTCATCGTTTAAATCTGAGTACGCAAAACCGCTAGATTTTGAACACTTCGGCTTAAAATCCGTTTTAATCGATGATAAACCACCGACTTCAGAACGTTTAACCACTCATTTTTCACGAGGATTTAACGACAATCCGTCTGAAACAATAGGTCAACGAACATCGCACTATTTGGAGGGATTCGGCAGAGACAAATCATCATACCTTCCAAATCAGCAGGCTTCGCTTTTTTCACGAGATTTCGGTGATGACGATCGAAGTAGTTTTAAAATATCTAAACCGTTTCGTTATCATACGAAATCGTCAACGTCAGATCTGTTCAATAGTCAATTGAGAGGCGTACGTCCATCCGAAGAATCAGTTTTAGAATACTTCCAACCGATTGTAATAGATTTTGAAAAAATATCAAAAGACAAAGAAGATAACAATTTCAAATTATTTGGAAAAAATAACGAAGACAATGAAAATTCACGATACTTTGGTAAATCAGAATCAACAGGTATATCGAAATTTAAAAAAAATCAAAACTTAGACCCACTCCGTCTACCCGGGCGCTTACATGAATCCAATGAAAACTTGTCCAGGAAAATGATTTTTCATCCATCCATGTTTGACATAGATAAATGAACAGCTATGTTTGCAAGTGAAATCATTATTTGACTTATCTGCTTATAATGCTTTTAATTGACTGTAAAAATTACTGACAAAAGTTCTTAAGTACTTTCAAATACAATTTACATTTAATATAGTATACATTTAATGTATCATTGCTAAACAATTTTTTTTCTATTATGCACATATTTAGAGTTATAACGAATCACTGATTAAATCGGTGTATAATTACTTATATTTTCAAATTTGTAATATTTTAGCGTTATAAAAGGATTTTTTTATAAATATAAATTATATCATGGAGTGAAAATCTAGACATAAACAAAATTCTATTTTAAATACAATACCTATTATAGTTTAATACAATAGTATACAACCACTTAAAATTATAGAGTAAACATCTTTTAATTGTTAATTCTTAATATTTAATATTGTAATCGCTATTTGCAATTAAGTTTAGGGTGCCATGTAAAATAAAATATTTTATAAATTCACTAAAATAGTATGTTTTTATACGTTATGGTAACACAATATAATTAAAAAGTTCTGCAAAACAACTATTATTATATTTATATAAAATGGTTAGTGATCAATTGTACATTTATAGAAAAATTCATTAAGTATGTATGATAATTATAATATTTATGTCGGTTGGATTTTATACTTTATAAGAACTATATTGATTTTATTGATGGCATTTTAAAATATATAATTTTATTTATTTAAATACTAATTTGGTTTTTTTTTTATTAATCCTATACTAGTAAAATCTAATACATGGAGTACAATTATTTCTTGTTGAAAGGGTCTATGAATGATGCAAGGTGCAACAGAATTAAGCTCCAGGTCAAGGGGTCTATTTTCTTCAAATTGATATTATAATTTTTTTTTTAAAATTATGATGAGACAAAGTTAACAATATAGTCATTAACTCTTGCTATACGCTTTAGTACGAGTGGACTAAAGTCTACACATAATCAGATGATTGGCAGTTTTTTATCATCTTAGGTATAAGTTAACCTAGGTAAGTCTTAGACTCCATAGGAGACGAATGATAAATTGACCCCGATAACATTAAACATAATATTATATTTTAGTGAAAACATGTTTTGTGACACCACGCAAAATCAAATTTTTTTTTTTTGTTTTCTAAAATATAGACCATGCAGCCTCAAAAATCGCCTGGCCTACATATATTCCATTTGTTTTATAAGGTGCAAAATGCTTATTCTATCTATTCAAATATTTTGAAATTTTGGATTTTGAGAGACTAAAAAATTTTAGAAGACCCACTCTTAATTATTATTTCATAAATTTGTGCTTTATATTACATTATGTAATAATATAATGACATGATTTTTACATTTAATAAACTTTTAATTATGAATTCTAGGTCGCAGTGTGAATTATGAATATTGATTATTACTAAATTAAAATATAAAAAATAATTCTAACATATTATAAAATTTATTTTTTGAAAGTTTCATGTAATTATACTAATTATATTGTGAAAAATAACTTTTTTATGAAGAAAATACTCATAATCAAGTGATAGGTAATTTATCTGTGGTATGAGGTAAGTGTATAAATAATAAATTAGAGACATCTAGATAAAATAAGTAATGTAGTTACCGATTATGATAACATAATTATACAATTGTTTCAACGTATAAACTAAACGTTTATCGAACCACCCATTACAAAGATCAGAACAGTTAAGACAGCAAATTATTTTTTTCGAAAATATCTTATTTAATAATTATAGGATTTCATTTTTTAATTAAATGATTGTTCAATTGTTTAAACGATAACAATTTCGATTTTCATAAAAATAAAATTATTAATCAACAAAAATATTTTATATTCTATCTAGAGTAAAATTTCAAAGTTAAATCGGTCGACAGTTGCAAATAACAATTCTGAAAATGTGTTACTGGTTGACAAGTATTAACTATTATAACTGTAAAGAAAATCAAAAGTAAAAAATTGGTTCAGAATAAAACTATTTTTAAGTTACTAAAATAACATTATTAATGATGTGCACAGTATATCTTCTTACTTGTATATTTGTGTTCGAATATATTTCAGGATATAAATTTTAAGATTTAAATCTTGAATAATACTTATATAAAAATAAAACTATGTGAACACACAAAGAATTAAGTTTTTTTATTTATTATGAAACATTTACTAGAAATAATTAGTTATAGAAGTGTATATGAATAGCAGATAGATAAGTAATTGGCGTTAAAAACGCGAAAAATTAAATGGTGACCTCCACGGAATAGATTTAACTTAATCCTGTACAACCTTTTTTTAGTTAAAAGTAAAAAGAAAAGCGAAGAATACACCATCAATTGAAAATCTTTACACCGATAACAACTACATTTAATTGCTTCGTGATGTACGGATATTCACATTATGTTTTTATCTTTTAATTGTAATTAAAAGTATAAATGTAAAATAAATTTGTTCCTTATATATTTTGTGTTGCGAGATAAGTTATAATAATTTTAAAACTGAGTCAATTTCTTAGTATAATAACATAATAATTTGTATGTATAAAACGATTATAATAAATGGAAATAAAATATAATATTATAAAAATGAATATAACTTATCTGATCTATACAAAATATATTTCTACGTTTATTCAATTATTTGTCATTATTTCTGATCAAATGGTAATGGCTTTTGAATTATATTGTTAAGTTAAACTCTCATTAAACATATATATTTCAAAAATAAAATACGAATATAATAGACAGTGAGCTGTGATTATTAAAGAAATTAGAGCGTTTACCTGTGAATATCTGATAAACTCCCGTGGTAATAATGACCATGAGTGCTAACAATTTGGCATATGTGAATATGTCTTGCACGCGTGTTGCCCACTTAACATCCCAGCAGTTGATAAATGTCAATATAACTGAAAAAAAAAACGAAAAAATGAGAATTTAGACACATGTAAGATATTTTTGACAGTTGTTATAATTTATTGTATACATCGTAACAATATCAAACATATATTCTTTATTTGCACTACTATAATCAGTTAAAATAATCTCGTATAAACTTTATTATATTCACTCTTAAAATTATTTTCAAGAACACAGAGCTTAATTATTTAACCGTCATAGTTTATATGCTTAAATGCCAAGTGATATAAAACTGTAAATTATTCAACATTAAATAATTGTAACTTGAATTTTGACTAAAGAGAATATTTGAAAAAATAATTTCTCAACGCATTCTCAGATTTATCAAATTTATTTATTATATAAATATGCATTATTGACTATATTACTTTAAGTAAAGTTTAATAATTCAAAAATTTTATTAAATTGACAGTTAAAAAATAAACCATAACAATATATATATATATACATATCTGATTTACTGATCTAAATCAACTTATTTCGACTGTACTCGTCTTGACTTATTGAATAAATGAAAATGTAATTATTTAATTAAGCTTGAAAGTAATTTCATAAAAAATACATCGATCAATATGATGAAGTACTAGTTATATTTTTTAAATCATGTTTACTAATTATACTAAAAAATGCTATACAAAAAAAACTTAAAGTATTTTAAAACCAATAAATAATATAATTAATTGCATTTTTTAAAAAGCGTTAATTTTATTAAATTTCTTTATTTATTTTAAAAACTATTTTATTAAAACTTCCCATGAACTAACTACAAAGTATACATTAAACATTTAAACAATTCTAACAAAACTATACATTTTAATTAAATTAGAGATGTACCTATAGGTATGGACTTTATTCGATAGTTGAGATTAGTTTGAGAACATCGTCCGCTTTAAGCTACAAAATAAGACTTACTTTTAAAAATAATTTATTGCCCGCAATATTGTCCCTTTGCATAGTAAAGAATTTTATGTATTTTAATTCTCAATAAATGTAAAATACCAAAGTTCCATAAAATAGTAATAATATTTACATTAAATTAATTTCAGACATTTAAAATTAGACCAGAGCAATACATTTCATTATGGTTTGTATATGCGTTACATTTAAAATTGTTAATTTATAGATAAATTATAATTATTAATTTACTAGAATGTCATTTATTAAAATAAATATAAGAAAAAAAATTTAAAAAGAACTAAAAACCTAAACTATTTAGAAGTGAAAATATTTAGCTCCATTTATGGTATTAAGAACAATCTCAAGTGATTTAAAGTTTAGTTTTAATACTTGTTTTGGTATTTTTAGGTGTTTCCTAAATGTTTAAGAATTTTTTATTTTTTTATCAAAATTAAAAATTAGAAGATTTGGTTTTAAAATGTATTTTTGTAATATATAAAAAAAAATAATATATAAATAATTCTTTGAAAATAGTGATCATAAATATGAATAATCTATGGCCGATAGACGCAAAAATATTGTGATAATTTGTTTCAAACACAAATTACAAGTACCAATTTTATATTTATATGACGCATTATATCAATACGCACTAACTTCAATGTATACGTTATTTTTAAAAAACCATGAAATGACAAAGATATCAAAAAGTTATTCCTAGAAACCATTAAATTCGTCTATTATATAAACCAGCATCTAACAAGATTATTTATGACACCAATAAATAAAGAAATATGCATTTTAAAATAAAATGGAATTTTTAAAATGTTATCTACTTATTTATATATAAATATAATAATATATAACTTTGAATTATAACTTAACAACTTTTAAAAGTTTCTAATATTTTTCAAGATATCAATTCCCAAAACTATTTTCAAAATCAATGCTTTTTAAAGTAATTAGTTTAAAATTTAATATAATCTACTTGTGCGACCTACTCACTACACCTTAGTTTTCTTATTGAGTTTTCAATGAAGTACGTAATAGTTAATACATTTTGCACATAAAAATAATATACATTTTTTTTCAAACAAATTATGATAATTTCGTGCTATTGTTGAATATTAATTATCTTTTATTTTTTAAATTAAATATTATGAAATTATTCTTTCTAGAACAATCGTTATATTTTCTTACTCACAAAATTGTGTACAATATTTTTAATAGGTGAACCCACTGAATATAGGTTATTTCTTTACGAATTATTTACGAATTAAAGCTAACAAGGTGTTTCCTTCCTGGCTATTAAAAGGATCATAAATATAAATTTACCGAGTCTATTGCAGTCCACAGGTTTATCACAATATTCGTTCTGGTTAATAACAATACCTATTTTTAAATTGTAATATTTTTTTATCGGTACATGACATATTTTAAGCAATGTACCTACAATGTATAAACAATATTTTGTTATATAGGTAACCTTTAATCTCATTACGAATTATTAGGTACTGTTTACGGTGAAAATTTATCGTGGTTTTGTTAAAAAAAAAATCAAAATTAATTTCTGACTTATAAATCTATCTGTATATAGAAGTTATAGTACTGAACGTTAGATGCGCATAACATCTGGTGGGAGGATGTGGGTGAAAGTTTCATTGATTTTTTCCAAGCTCCAGTGAAATAGTACCACGTGGATTTCCCCATTGGAGAAAACCACCCACGCGGTTCTTACGCGCTCTTGGAATGGAATAGGTAAATTTGATTTATACATTACAAAAATGATTCACATGATATTATAAGAAACATTTCTAAATTTATTTAGTGTAATACAAATTGGTCAATTTATTTTAAATAAATATGGACAGTATATTCATATTGTTAATATTCATCTAAAAATATTCCGAGCATTTACATTAATAAAGCACAACATTTAAATGGACCCTCTGTATAATGTATACAGTGTGTAAACGTTAACACTCAATATCGTTGCGAAGAGACCTGAAATTTGAATTCTGATTTTTTATTACAGGAGTTTCAATTTCAGGTCCCTCCGCAAAAATATTGTTCTCAGTTAGCGTTTACACACTGTATATAGTTAGTATATCGTGTATGATACACATTGCGGAATAAATTTCGTAAGTCATGAGTAATATTACGACACATTTTTAAAAAGGGACAGCTATTGTTTGATTAAAATATTACCCAATTGGTATACCTATTGAGCAATGAATATAGAACATATTACACAGATATAAATTATTAAAATAACACAAGGGACCACCGGTTAAATTATTCGAGTATTTATTATGTATTATACATACTTGCTGTTTATCATTACAACGTTTATTTTAATTTAATTAATTAAAAAAAAAACTTTAATATCGTATAAATATATAAAGTACTAAATTAGTGAATTTCATACATACAATTTTGAAATTCAATATTTTTAATCATATTTGAAACTGAGTTTATTTTTATACCCAACAAATACTATAGCATAAAATTAAATTATAAATATTCCAACCTGGCATAGATTTCGAACATTATAGGGAAAATTAAATAGGTATAACATTTAAAATTTGTTTAATACTTTAATAAACCAAAAAATCATGATACTAAAATATATTTTACCTGACTTATGTCTTTTAAAAGACATAATTTGTTTCTTGTATAGGTACACTGTCATTTTAATAGTATATTTTTATTGCTTTCTCATACAATTTAAATTTATATAGTTTTAAGAAAATATTAACCATGTAAAACCTAATCTCATTAATTTAGTAAATTATATCACATTTATCAATAATAAATATCTGAATATTTCTATAGTTCAAAACTCAAAATTTAAATCTAAAAAAATAAATTATAAAATGTATTTCACGCTAAATTCACATGAAAGACTAGAGAACTAAAATGTTGTTTCCTTCATTTAAACTTTAAACTATCAATATTAACACTTATAAAATGGATTCATACCTAAATAGATATAGTTAAGATACATTTAAATACACTTCCAAGCGGTGGTAAATATATTGTCAAATCGAGTGTTTTATACGGAAAATTTACTTATATCCATGTAAATTTTAATTTAAAGATTTTTTTTGAATAATGTACATAAATTCAAATAATGAAGCATTGAGTTTCAGAAATCGTGGTTCATTTTAAATTAATGGATTTTGAACTGTACTTTTTATTATTTTGTAAAATACACAATTCAACGTATACTAAAAATCAAAAATAGTAACATAATATTATCCATATTATGGATTGATTGTGAGATACAGAAGTTAAGTGCAGGTTATTTGGCTAGCAGTATTTGTACAAATAAGTCTAAAATCTTAAGAGAACTAGAGTTTCACGTTCCATCGTACAATTATCTAAAAATATAAGTAAGTCAATATCCTATTGAGTTTGAGCATTTATAGAGGCTAGTTCCTCACATCCCATTTTATAGTTGCGATTGAATGGTATTTTTTATTTATTATATAAAGCAATCATCGCATTGACAAAAATTATTTGAAGCTATGCTTGGCCAACTACATACGCTGTGTCGTTGTTTTTAAATAGGTTTAACACATATCGCGCATATTCAATCGTTGTGACAAAACTGCAAAATATATTAATATAGTTTTTGATAATTACCTATACAACAAGCGGCCAACAAACGAGTTGATTCTTCGGGAGGATTGCAGTCGGTATATATTGGTTTCAATACGTACAAGCTAAAAGTGAGTGCGACTATAGCTTGAGAACAGGGTCTGACGATCATGCACTCCACCCACAGTCTCATGAAAGCTATAAATGGGCCAAACGTCTCCATGATGTACGCGTAATCGGCTCCAGATTTTGATATCATACATCCCAGTTCTGCATAACAGTACGCGCCCACCTAAATGTACAAAAAGAATAGCAATTGGTGAAAAATCGCCTCCACACTTAGGAAAAAGTGTATGATAAATATATAAAGGTACAAAATTCTACAAACATATATATATATGACGTCAACGGTAAAGATTTTTTTATCCTGGTAAATTTAATTTGCACAAAAATTATGAATCATTTGAGTGAGTATATTAAATGACAAATAAGCGCCTCGAGTTTGCATAGATAGATATGAAAAATATCAGAAAAACGCAACATTCTGTTATTTTATTTACATCCACGCATCGTATACGCATTTACCGTGTGCATATTTCCAAACAATTTAAATAGTTCGTAGTTATACCGAAAGAAACAAATATGCGATTTACTTAAGACGCTTATTTCTTAAATTATTATTGCCATGGTTTCTCGCCACAGATCTTCCTTTCCAGTGCTCGACTTGGCAAAATTAAAGAAGGGGGACTCTATTTACTTTAAAAAAATAGGATGTCCCCAAAACTGGCTGAGCATAATAATTGTAGGGAGACGGTAAAATTTCTGAAAATTAGTTGGGGTACTAACCGTCCCCCTGTGTCCCCCCTCAAGTTGAGCACTGTTCTTTTCTGGAACGAAGCGATAACTTGATCGAAGAACCATGTGTGTGTACAGTAAAAAATATTGCTACCAACTCTTGTCAATTGCTTACATAATACGAGTATTTCTATGTAGCCGTCGTGCAATGAAACGAATTGATATTGGTTAACCCGTATTTATCGTCCAGATTCCATGTGTTTCCCACGGGTCAAATATTAATTTTGCTCTCGTCTTAATAGAAAATATACAAACAAAAAGAAAAAAAACCTGTGTTATTGTTTTCGTTTTAATTAATTTCTCTCCCTTCTTTGTTTTTCTTATAAAAATTTTAGTTTTATTTTACTTTTATTTTTTCTAACTAAATAACGATCGTCGTTATCTACACGATTTCCCGAACGAGTACAATCAACATAAACGACGTTTTCGTACCATATAAATAAGTATAATATGTACATAATGCGTCGTTATTATAACGTGTGCCATTCGCAAACAATATGTGCGTCACGACGCACAAAGGACGTATAGACGGTTTTATTTATTATTTACCATAGAGAATACACCGGACAGAACCCAAACGATTAACGAAGCGTTCACGGATCCAGTGTTCTCCAACACGCCCGTCGGTGATATGAATATTCCTGATCCAATTATACTGCCTACGATGACGGTGATACCATTCAATAGACTCATTTTGGGCTTTAACTTGATACTTTCGTCTTCGACTGGCGCCGCGTCCGTCGCCACGCCTTCTTCTTTGCTTTTTGCTCCCATGGTTTTTTTTTTTTTATTGTTTTATTGATGAATTTGGATCTACGAATAGAAAACGTTTTAAAAAATACATTTAAGAAAACATTAACAAAATACGTTTGGTTGTATTTGACAGCTAATTATTATTAGCCAATTAAAATGTAAAGTATAAATTCAATGAAAATTGAAAACATTTAAAAATATATACTTTTCCCGCGTCAACAGGTCGTTCTATATTCGATTTAAAAAAGAATAATAACTTGCATTAACCATTTCAATTAACGTTAAATGTTTTCGATGAACACTAAATTATTAATTTTCGTTTTGCTATTATTATAAAAAAAACGTATAGCGCATTTTATTATTAAATTGTCTAAAGACAAGTGTTCAATATTAGATTACTCATTGATCACATACAATATATTGCAAATTACATATAATATAATACAAATAAATACAATATTATAATATTTTATAAGCTGGCAATTAGACACAATTCATTACTGTTTTATGATAACTAATGGTTTCATCAGAACACTAATATATTCTTTATTAATTTGAAGTATAATGACATCATACAATAGATTAAACTTCTGTGGTTACATTATGATTTATAAATTAAAATCGAATTAATGAATCATTCGTGTGTTTTTTATTTAATCTTTAACTTCTAGTTCCAATAATTGATAGCAATTATTTTTCACCACCCGAGTAACAATTTACTATAATTCTGACATTATTTATGCGTCTTCTCCACCTTTCGATCACCGAATGCGACTGTTGAAAAATGTATATTTTATTTTTAAAGCGTATAGGCAACTATTAATACAGCTTATAAAATAAGAAAAAACTTATATTCGACATAATGAATGTAAAAATGTGTATTGATTAAGATCAAATCAACACGACGTATTGCAGACAGTAAAAATTCACGATTTAATATTGTAGATTTTTTATAAACATATTCTAACTAAATATCTATGTGTATGCGTGTACTGTTAGTCAAATATACATAAGTATAAATACGAAACGTTGAAATAAATTAACTAAAAAATTCAACTAGAGGCTATAACACAGAAATTTAATAAAATTTAAATTTAATTATTTATATGATTATGGACATTAACATCATCGAAAAGTTTATCCAACACGTACTGCGCTGTTCAAAGACGGAAAATAAACTGGAACTATTCAAGACGAGTACCCTTTTGGAAAATGGGGCCAAACCATAAGTTTATAGATAAAATTTAGTAAAAAAATTGTTGATTTACTTTTTGTTCAGCAATTGGAATCGGTACGATATAAAAATTAGCGGTACCCTCGACCAACTGTTACTCGGTTCACCACGAGAACTTTACACGGTGCAGAACGATCGCGGTGCACGTACGTGTTACGATCATCGTAAAGGAAACGTGAAAAAAAACGATGTTCGAAACGTCGTAAACTCAGAAATTACGGTCAGCATACGACGACCTTTGAACACTTCCTGACCGATATCGTTTCGAGTTCTCGACGGTTTCTCTGCCTACCGTGCACGCGGCGTACCGCCAGTGGTAAGTCCGAACTGTTACTGGGCTTTCGTCCACGAAAAAACGACGGTTGGATGATCCGTTGCCGAAACTGTGAACGCGAATCGCTCGGGACCGCACCTACCCCCCACTCGCTCCGCCGTTCCGACGAATCGCCGAACCCCCCACCCTGGCTACCGGTGCCCGGGGAGAACCGGAAAAAACGGCGCTACGCAACGTCGCGTGTACTCACCGAACGCATCGCGGAGCTGGTACGCCCGAGGTCCGGAGCCGCCGGACGGATGATGGTGTGCCGGTGGTGCGCGATTCGACGGTGCACGATACCGCGCCGTTACCGCGCCGTTACCGCGTCGCGCCGCACTGCCACGGCGGCTACCGACGATCCGCGCTCGGTCCGGGCGTGCGCGCGATTCATTCAAAACAATTGCGTGGAAAAAACGGCGGCGGTGGCGTCGTCTCGTCTGCTGGGCCGACGGTTCGGTTGCGCGTTACTGAGCAACGGGCGAACCGCGACTCCGGTGTCCGTTTCCCGACGCTACACGCCCGTGTCACCTCCCCCCCCCCCCACGACCGCTACGACCCCGTCACGCTCCCGCGCAGCCGTGCGCGTCTGCGTCGGGATATCGGCGATTCGCGGGCGCGCGCGTCACGATCCCTTTGGACATCGTAACGGTGGCAGCAGCAGCATCGTCGTCGTCGTTGCCCGATGCGACCACCATCCCGTAACCTAACCGCCGTCTACCACCTCGCGTGACAACAATTATTACGACTACGAACCGTCTCTGCCAACCCTGTCCCGCAATCGTTGGCGCGTACAGGGTGTGTACCACGGTGCTTTTCGGCGTGTCGGAGCATGAATGAGGCTTTCCCTGCCCCTGCCCCTGCTGTTTTTCCCGGACTCGAGCGTTTTCAATGACGCAGACTAGTTTGAATTACGGATGCGTGGCGAAACATAAGCGTTCCATCTATGAAAAAAAATTGGTCGCCGCGCTCGCATAACATATAAATACGTGATACCCGTTTAATGTTAGGTTAGGTTAGTATAAGTACAGGTACCTATTTGTATAAGTGTATCGATGTAGACTTATTATTATGTCTAAAAATTGACCATCGATTATCGATCAATTGCCGCCCGCTCACTTACCAAATTAAAGGTGGGGCGATTTCCACTTCCCTCCGTTTTCTCCTGGATTTGCCCCTCTGAGCAGTTGAGAGTGTTACAGCACATTTTTCTGATTGTTACACCATCATTGTTCGACGTTACAGGCGCTGTAAGAATCTTATGTCAAAAACAGTAATCAAATTAGCACTGCAGTTGCGTTCCATTGTCATTGGGAATAAAATGTAAACCATAATTCGCGCGTATTTTATTTACTCCAAACTAGGAGACAGATGTTTATCAACGGTTGCGACTTCGAACGGATCGATTGCAAATTCAATAAATATGATATCCTCCAGCCGCCAGGTAAATACATCATCATTAGAGCAAAGACTTTCATGCACTAAAAAATCATCAAATATGCATTTAAAAATGTGCTCTTACGCATCAAAAAATTAAAAATATGTGGTTAAATATGCTATTAAAAAAATTAATTTTATTATTATTCACTATAAGTTATAACTAGATTTATTTTATTAAATTAATTTGGAATCTTTTTTGAATGTTGCTTCCCAATCTTCTTAGTTATTATTCTGCACCTAATAAAACAAAAAAGGTATTTTAAAATAATTGCTGTATTATTCTCAAATATTCACCTTACCTAAATTAGAATTACACTGAATTATTAAACACACAAATGTTTTATAAAAATTAAACACACGAAACTAACATACACACGGTGAATCTTCTAGAACTAATCTAATTTACCAGGGGCGCCATTTAGGGGGGGAGCAGGGTGTGCACTCGCACACCCTGAATTTTTTTCGTCTTTAATTATTGGCCTAGGCGTCACTGATACATGGCCTTGCCACTTTGGCCTTCAGTTTTCCAATTTTTAATGTTGTGCATGCACCGCGGCTAATCAGTAATCATTGCTAATCATAAATGTTGGCCTGGTGGTGGGGAAAAATTGGCCTCTTTAATTGCTTGCACACCCTTAAAATAAACTGAAATGGCGCCCCTATAATCTACCCACTAACTATAGATACTTGATACTATCATTTTTATACCACGTACCTACTATTCGATTTGTATTATAAAAATACAAAAATAGACATAATAAATACTGATCATTATTATTATTTCAAGATAACATCATTGATTATAAATACAAAGTATTTATAATCAATGATAACATTTATCTCTATCGTCTTATAAGTTTATAACAAACTATTGACTTTGATCCATGAAAAAAAATTCACCAAAGCGCTTGATTTTCGATAAACCATCAAAATATGCACTAAAAGCTTAAAATATGCTCTTATAATCAAAAATATGCCCCTTAAACCAAAAAATGTCCAAATATGCAAAAAAATGCACAAAAAACTTTGAGTACTTCATCATAAACGTTATGAAATGTATTTTATACTTACCAAGCATACGATAAAGTTAACCAGAAAAAATATGCAAATACATGAAAATCCTTGATCTACTCATCATTATGACCAAGGGTATTCGTATAATTGTCTAGAAAGTGCATATTGAAATTTTGATTCGATACAAATTCAATTCATAGTGTGTATATTTCAGTTATAAAAATTTTTGTTGCATAATTTTGCATATTTTGTTACTTTTTGTACCGCATATTCGCATATTTTGGGTTTAAGAAGATTTATATGCATATTTCATGGATTTAACAAAATTTTTTAAAAAAAATGTATAGTTTAATAATCAAATATTAGATATATGACAACCAAAATTCTAAATTTTATATCGTTTGACAAAATGTATTAATTCATCAACGGCTATTATTTATATTGCTCCGGCTTTCAGTGCTAATCTTTATAGTACCGATAACTCGTAATAGTAACCACCGCCGGCCCGTATTTATTTTTATACAAATTTGTCACTGTATTAATATTTTGTAACATGACATAAAAAAATTGTATAACCATAGGTAATTCGTAAACAATTATGTTTAACCATTAGGTTATCAACTTATACACAATATTATTTCTGTACGTTATAATACTGCATACATCTGCATGCGAGCGACTTCATTGTACAGTGTACACTAGTCAATAGTCAGTATACTATTTTTTAAGCAATTATTTTTCAATTTTTTACTGCATATTATACCGCATATTTTGATATTTTTAACGCATATTTTAGTATTTTTAGCGCATAAAGTTCCAAGCCTTGATTATGACTGTTCCGCATGACATCAACCGTACTGTGTGTGCTACACTAGCGTTTCTCGACCTTTTTAACGTTGCACCCCTAGAGCAGGTAAAAAATAAAATCACTCACCACACAACTCCCCTCCTCTTTAGAATAATAACTAATTTAAACTTTTATCTGTTTTACCACTTAAAATATGTATAAAAAAAAAAATTTTAAATAAAATAAATGTATAAAAATAAATATATATATTAATAAATCAGTTCGGCGTTGTACCTCCGCGTGAACGCATGTCTGTCGTTATACACGTTCCATTATCTCGATTCCACATGTCGTAGACCTACTCGTAATCGCTATTCTATTAATGTGCGTTCCACGGTTATAACGAGCGTGTGGCTATGTCGAACCCTAGTGTCAATGATAAGAGTCGCAGTGTGTCTCATTCCGATTCCCCTTTTCCGTCTAAACAAAAATTCAAAACACTCCAACAAAACGACTCCATCTCATTTGAAAAAAAAAACTAAAAGTTTTTGCTCAACAAATCACTATACTATTTTAGCGACCAAGGATGACAACGTTGAACCAACTGTAATTTCAACCTACACAGTTATTGACAGCAACCAACTCATTCTACTTGAGAGAAAAATAAATTCCAACGCTCGGGCTCCACCAATCTACATTAAAAACACTTCTATAGTTAATTTTTCGGCTCTCAAAAATACGCTTATACGACTCACTAGTGTAAACGGTTTCTCTTGTAAGTCAACTTTTTAATTATTTGTCCAAATGGAGCTTTGAACTTCAATGCTATCATCGAACATCTGGCAAGCTCGGATGCTTGCTATCACACATTTAACCCTCCTCCACTTCGGCCTTATAGAGTTGTTATCAGAAATCTTCACCATACTACTCTCATCACGGATATCTCAGAAGCTCTGGGTGACCTGGGCTTCTGTGTTAGACGAGTTGAAAATATTCTAAAGAATGGTCTCCCATTACCTCTTTTCTTTGTAGATCTAACACCAAACGACAATAATCATGAAATTTTTAAACTGTCTTCATTATTGAACACAATTATAAAAGTTGAAAAACTTAATAAAACCAAGAATGGACCACCCCAGTGTCATACCTGCCAGAATTATGGGCACACAAAAAATCATTGTGGTCATTTCCCTCGCTGCGTCAAGTGTGGGGAGAATCATGACTCCGAAAATTGTACCAAAGATAAAAACAGACTACCCAAATACGCTCTTTGCCAGGGTGCCCACACCACTAAATTCAAAGGCTGCCCTATTTTTAAGTTACTGTCAAAACGTCCGAAAGTAAATAGGAAGACCCCTATATAGCTCCAGCAACTACTGTTCCAGGATCATTTTTAAAATTGAGGACAAAACCCAAATCCTATGCCGAAGCAGTTAATTCTGATATTTCTCTGGTTGAAACCATCTCGTCCATTTTATCTAATTTCATAAATAATTTAAATTCACTTATTAGCCCGTTAATTTCCCTCCTTACGGAGGTCGTACTAAACGGTTCTCCCCTTAGTTGTATTTTTATTATATCATAACTACTTCATCTCACTTATCCTTTCTTATATGAACGTTCATTGACAAATAATGAATCTGATATAATAAACTTATCACAAATTAAACAAATAATTATTGATCAAGCAATTTAAATTTATTACTTTTCCATCGATGCAATTGTCGACTACGAAGAATTAATATATTTTCCTATGTAGTTTTTAAATTTACAAATGACATCTGATATACTTCTATATAAAATATAATTTAATATTAACACTCTAATTAAATTAAGAAATTCGAATACGCCTAGATTATGTATAATGGGACTATATTCCTTATGTTTGTGTCACTTATCATGCAGAAAATAATTTACTGACATTTAGATAACATGTGCTAC